AAGTAGGTTATTTAGAGTTATAAGTTATAAGTACCCTAAATGGAGTTGTTCCAATTGTAGCCCTACTTCTAAACGACTTACTAATCCCCTGCCCCTCCAAGCAGCTTTGCAGGAGGGGAATCACTAGGTTTGTGCACAGACAGTAGGAAGCTTAGTACACCGACTAACCAACATCCCGTAATTACTGAATATGATTATCCTAAATGGGTGGTTGTCAATATTAGGGTCCCTTTTTGGGTCCTCATTATAATACGGCACCTAATATTTAGGGTACCCCAAAAGGGACCATAACTTTGATATTAGGGATTCCAGTATGATATAGGGTATATTCTAGAAGCGGCCCCCACCCTGTAATAGTGACTATAAGGATTATATTAGGGCCCCATTATATTCTTATTATACCACTATTACAGGGTGGGGGCAGCTTCTAAGGTATATTCTTGAAATCAGTGATATTTGAAGGTTTAGGTACATGGAGCGAGTCTGAGGGCCCCTGAACAGGGTTTTGGGCATAAGAGTTTAGGGTTTAGGGGTTTTAGGGTTTAGGGGTTAGGAGTTTAGGGGTTTAGGGTTTAGGGTTTAGGGCTTTAGGGTTTGGGGGTTTAGGGTTTAGGGGTTTAGGGTTTGGGGGTTTAGGGTTTAGGGCTTTAGGGTTTGGGGGTTTAGGGTTTGGGGTTTAGGGGTTTCGGGTTTAGGGGTTTAGGGTTTGGGGGTTTGCGTCTCAGCCGCCCCGAATCACCCACGATGCCTGCAGCGACACGAAGCTTCCGAAGTCCTCTCCGGTCATCCTCGATGCTAAATTTTAATTCCCTATTTCACGGGCTACTCGGAGATGTGTCATATATTTGCACCCTGTCTCTCCAGCTCGAAAAGACAGATTTTTAATTCGGGACTTAAGTATACTCTAAGTGCTATCAGTACCGAGGTCCTGTTTCGGGCCCTGATGTTGATAGCCATTGGCTTTGGCTGTGCGCGTTGGCAGCCTCGGTCGATGTGCAGTGCGGGGGTTGTGGGTGTTTGAGTGCCTGAATAGCAACGTACCTTTGGCCCTCTAATCTTGTGTGGTGACCCCAATCTATAAGCCCTCGACAACGTCAGACATCTACGAATTACAACATCATTTTCGTGCACAGCAAAAGCAAACAGCAAAAGCAAACAACAAAAGCACGAGAAAAGGGTCGGGTAGGCAAACTCGGTGGGTTGGAGGCATCCTCCTCGCTTATGACCCTCCTTCACAGAGCCGGGATTCAGGAAGGTTTCTGTATTGTATTGCGTTCTGGGAAGCTTTGCACAATTGTTGTTGCTAAGCCCTGAATCCTACGAGCAACCCCCCCCCCCGCAACTACCCTCCATTTCCCCTAAATACACACTATTACTTAGTAGCTGAGTTTATAAACTCTAGAACCCTTTGGGATGATGAGACCATCTCAAGGCTGAATTCGAAAGTTTAAACTTTTTTGGGCTTAGGAACTCGGGAACTAAGGGCTCCATTAAAGGGTCCTTGGTGGGTGCTGGTAACCAAAAACCCTAAACCCTAAACGCTACTTCGAGGGGCAGGGGACTTTGTAAGTAAGGTTATAAGAAGGGTTATTATAATGGGGGTAACTCCATTTATAGGGTACTTCTAACTCTACTTATAACCTACTTACTAAGTCCCCTGCCCCTCCAAGTATATAGGGTTAACCCTACCTGTAATTAGCCGGAAAGACCTACCTTTTCAGGATTCCTTATTGTGGTTTCTATATATAGTTCTTTAAAATGGTCTTCGGGCGGATTGCGAAAAGGGTTTAGGGTTTATCGGGGTTTAAGATTTAGGGATTTAGGGGTCTAGGGTTCAGGGCTTATCGACATAGCCCCAAAAGCCTCACAGATTGTGGTCTTTGGGCCTAAAAGCCTTCAAGCATGAGTCCTTAGAGCCTTAGGCTTATGAAAATAACCGTATGAACCCACATGAAGGTTTGAAAATCCTGATAGACAGAGACCCGTATAAGGTCATGTAAAAGATACCCAACAGCCTGAAAGCCTCAGAATTCCTAGGCTGGAGCTGGCTGGGCTATCTTCTTTGGTCCTGTTCCACGGTGGTCCTGGAAGGGCCGGTCCTCGTTTTCTGCACGGAACCCACGGGTCACTGGTCCTTTTGGGCTTCAGGAGGATCTAGAAAGTAGATCCCCTAATTAATTTGGGTCCCTATACTACTAAGGGTACTTTACAAGAACCCCCATTAAGGGATCTACTTTTTGGATCTTTTCGAGGGTCTGGGTTTAGGCTTAGTAGCTGAGCGGATACACTTTACACGATAATACTACCCGCTATAAAACTGAAAGCGTATATGAACTCTGCAACTAAGTAGGGTAGAGGGTTCAGGTACACGTGCAGGTTTTAAGGTGTTTGAGGTTTATAAGGCGTTTAAGGCCCGGTTGAGGGCTCAGTGTTTTGAGGCTTTTGGCTTCGTTACCCTAAGGCTCAAAATGGCCCAAAAGCCTTATATACTAAGGTCTTTAGGCCCGAAAGCCGTAAAATGTGAGTCCTTGGAGCCTTAGGGTTAGGGTTTGGGGTGGGAGGAGTCTGGAGTTTCGGGTGTGGGGGGGCGCCGTATACCTCAGGCGGAAGATGATGCGAGCTGCTTCCTCATTGAGAACATATGTGCCTGCGGAACCCTAGCCCGAAAATCAAGCCCTAAATCCTAGCCTATACCTATACCAACAACAGGAACTACAATGGAGGCTATATAGAGTCTCCATTGTAGTTCCTGTCGTTGGTTTAACCAATTATGTAATTAGGATCCTATAGATCCTATACGGTAACCCCAAAAAGAAAATCAATGGAGACTATAGGAAATCCCTACCCCCCCCCCCCCTTCTAGCCCCCTCTCAGCCAAGTGCTTCCTGTCGGTGCTGGGGCTCAAGGAGCGAGGTGATAGCTGGGTGCGGAAATCCCTCCATGCCGGCGTCACCCCCGCCTTCTTTTGACACCTTCGGGCGTTTCGCAAGGAGGCGACACACAGTTTGGGTTCCAGAATCAGAATTTGCGGTATATGGTTTAGGGTTTATTTGGTGTTTCGGGTAATGTGTGGCTCTTGCCAGAAATCTGGCATAGCTGTAGCAGCAAACCGTCTTAGGAGACTAGCGCGCATGGAATGTCTGCGAGTGACGGGTTTGGCTTCAGAGAAAGGACGGGTGCTATAGGGTCCTTAACCAGTACTATTTTGGGGGTTCCTTAATATTAACTATAATTAGCATAAATGGGCCCTAATTATTCTAATTCTTAAGGCCCCCTACATTACCGGATCCCCTCCGTTTTTCTGAAGAGGGGCTTGCTAAGTTCCACGCTGAACCCTAAGGCTCCATTCCATGTACCCATATAGTAGGTACTTAGGCCTTAAAGGGGTCCCTACATGGCTACTTTAAGGCCTAAGTACGTACCTACTATATCCCTAAGGCTCAAAATGGCCCAAAAGCCTTATATAATAAGGCCTTTAGGCCCAAAAGCCTTAAAATGTGAGTCCTTGGAGCCTTAGGGTATGGGTTCATGGAGCCTTTGGGGAAGGAACTGAACTACATCTTGCGGTACGGAACGGCGGGCCGTGGCAACTTGGCCTCGTTTCAGAGACTTGGCTCTGGGCCTGGGTGTGTAGGGGGTTTTAGGGTCTAGGGTTCAGGTTTTAGGGTTTAGGGTTTATAGGGTTTAGGGTTTAGGTTTTAGGTTTTGGGGTTTAGGTTTTAGGGTTTAGTGTTTAGGTTTTAGGGTTTAGGGTTTAGGTTTTACGGTTTAGGGTTTATAGGGTTTAGGGTTTAGTTTTTAGGGTTTAGGGTTTTAGGGTTTAGGTTTTAGGGTTTAGGGCTCCAAAAAGCCAAAAGAAGGTAGTAGTTAGATTTATAGACTTTCGACCCCGAAGTAGGTACTACGTGTATGCTTGGAGCCTCAGGGTAGAGATAGAACCTACGATCGAGGTTTGTGCAGGGCCTCGGAACCTTGTATGCGAACTGTGTCGTGTTGGGGGTTCGCATGTGGGGAAGTTGGCTTGCTCACGTTCCTCAGATGGGAGTTTCCGAAAATAGGGGATCCTGGGGATCCTCATTTGGTGCCCGAAATAGTAGGATCCTTGTTGTAATTATAAGCCCCAAAATCAGGTACCCCGAATTTTCGGAAGCTCCCATCTCCGAAAGAGTAAAGATGCTGGAAGACACCTTGGAAACCACAGATCAGCGAGACTCATCCATCGGAGTTCTTCGGAACCGCCAGAATGCCCCTTTGTTCGCTACAGAAAGAGCCTCCAATCCTTGCGCTACCGAGCCCTTACAGGCAACCGCCCCCTAAATGAATGACCTGTAGGTGTAAGGAGCTGTCACTGTAGACAACATAGCCGGCATGGATGTGCACAGGCGCAGTTTCCACATGGGTCATAAAACCATTTAATAGTAATCCCTAATATAGAAGCCCTACATTCTCCTATAAACGTACTTTGGGCTCTTTGGCATTGGCATTTGTAATGTAGGAACCTGATTAAGACACCTTGTGCCTTCGTTAGGGTTCCTTATTATGGATCCTACTATATTTGGGGTTATAGGCCCACGGTTTCTGAATCAGGTTCCTACATTACCGTGTTCTTGTGAGCCTTAAGGGGTTCTAGTTGCCCAATCGCGCACCAGCTAGGAACACTTCCCAACTGAGCTGTTTCTCATAGCGACGCTTTGGGTGGGGGGGTAGGGGGAGGGCCCTAAACCCTAAACCGGGGGGGTAGTGACTTCAGTGTCAAACTTCATGGAAACATGCCCCACGCTGTTGTGTTGGAGGCTCACGAAGCTGCAAAGTTCCGACCCACCAAAAAAAGGGTTTAGGGTTTATAGGGTTTAGGTTTAGGGTTTTTTAGGGTTTAGGTTTAGGGTTTAGGGTTGCCCCATGGTTTAGGGGTTAGGGTTTTTATAAGCGCGAAACCCGACCCGAAGTAAACCCAAGGCCTTTCATTAAACCGTGAAACCAGAGGAAGCAGCTGCGCCTACATGGCGCGCTGCGACCAGGCCGGGTCATGTTTAACCTCACAGGGGAAGTGGTTTGGGTGTTACAGCGTTTTGCTAGGGCCAGGATGCTTTTAGGGCAAGGGCCAGGTTGCTTTTGGGGTTTTAATACGGTCTTGCCATAGCCTCCAAACGGTCACATATGCAGTGACTGCAGGGGCTGCTAAGAGGGGCAGGGGACTTGGTAATACCCTAAATGGAGTTACCCCAATTATAACCCGACTTATAACCTATAGAACTAAGTCCCCTGCCCCTCCAAGTAGACCCTAAACCCTAAAACCCCATAGATCCCTTTAAGGAACCCTATAGATCCCTTTAAGGAGCCCTTTAAGAACCCTTACTAAGTCCGGGTTTGGAGGTTGGGGCTCGGAGTGGAGCATGATCGTGCTGTGGTACACCTAGGCTTTAGGGGCGCCTTGAGGGCTATAAAACATGTTTAAACGCTCCTTAGGGTTTAGGGTTCAGGGAACTTAGAGGGATTTGTAAGGGTTCCTTGAAGGGATCTATAAGGGTTCTGTACAGGTTCTAGGGTTCAGAGTTTCCGAAAATTCGGGGTACCTTATTTTGGGGTCCGCATAATAAGGATCCTACTAGTTGTTTTCTGAAACTCCCAAACAAATCTAAGGTTTAGGGTTTAAGGTTTAGGGTTCAGGAAACGAAGCCTTAATCTCTGAAAGACATCAATACCGCTCCGCCGCGATCCCTCTCTAACCTTGGCCGAGAAAGAGTTACGCGTCAGGGGACGCACTTCGAGCTGAAGCCGCAACCGCTCAGCCAGAAGCTTCTAAGACATAAGTCCCTAACGCCGGGTTCAGGGTTTCGGGTCGTTAGTGTTTAGGGTTTAGGGTTTAGGGCGAAATCTCGAAACTCAAGGCCCCTGACATGAGAAACGCATTGAGTCCTGATCGTCCCCTCGCGCTTGTCGTGTCTAGCTGTATTAGCATTCTGTTCACAGAATAATCAAGCAAGTACACGCAAATGAGTTTACAGTAGTTTGAGGGTTAAGTTTTCCAGTTGGACGGAAGCGTGTGAGGGTGTCTGATCTCAGGCTTGGGGTATCAGCCCCAAGCGCGCTGTTGAATTCACTTTCGGGGTCTCGTTTTGTTTCTCGAGCTCGGCACTTGGGTTCGGGATGTACCCGAAGCCGATGCAGCATATGAGTATGTCTCTAGATGAGGGTCCTGTTTAGGAGCTTTGTTGTTTAAACAAGGGTTCCGTGCTATTTTGGGGGGCTTAAAACAGGACCCTAGTTTAAAGAACTACCCATCTACAGAGAGGCCATGCTGTGTGCCGTCTTGGCGTAGGCCTGAACAACAGTAACAGCACCCTCTTGGCCTGTGCATGTGTGTATTATATATATATATATATGTGTATGCATGTGTGTACATATATATATATATATATACACATATACTCTCTCTCTCTCTCACACACACACCTGAACCCTAAACCCTAAACCCCTAAACCCCTAAATCCTAAACCGCTATCTGTACACCCTAATGAGTATATCGCGTTGGCTCTCTGCCTTCTTGCGGCAGGTCCTGTGGAGCACGTGGCTGAGATGGGTCTCGCTCCTGGTATGCTCGGGCCCCAGGTACCCCGAATGTAGGGTCCTTAAATCTTAGGGAGACTTATAAATAATTTTGTATTTGTTTGGTTCCTTTCACCGTTAAGAAACAGCTAAAATCATAGTTCTTGCTTGGGGTCTAATTTCAGTATAGAAATCTGTGATCGGAACAGGGTTTGGGGTGTATTGCGGTAGAATGATATCGAGATTACGCACACACACGTCAGACCTCTATATGTACATATATATATATATGCATATCATGTTACAGGCGCTGCTAATCCCCCAAACTCCTAAACCGTCCAGTCGATATACCCCGGATCCCTACTCTGAATATCAAGGCCCCGATATTACTTAAAGGGTCATGGGAGTTGGTAACTAGGGAGGGTTATTTGTTGGGGTAACTATACTTGTCATGACCAAAAACCCCATCAAGGGACTTATAACTTGACGTCCTACGTCCCATGATTGTCCAAGTAGACCCGAAACCCTAAACCCCAAACCCTTCAAGGAACCCATCTAGATCCCTGAAAGGAACCCCTACAGTAGAGCCCGCTGACTCCCAAACTCTTCTTAGCCGAGGCACCTGGAGTTTTGGCCTGAACCAGTGCACAGCGACAGGGCCGCTCGGGCCAGCTTGTTATGACCTACTTTTTTTGTAGGGTTCTTAAAGGGCTCCTTAAAAGGGATCTATGGGCTTCAGGGTTTAGGGGTTTACTTGGAGGGGCAGGGGACTTAGTAAGTAGTAAGTAGGCTATAAGTAGAGTTATAAGTAGCCTAAATGGAGTTACCCCAATTATAGCCCTACTTATAAACCTTACTAAGTCCCCTGCCCCTCCAAGTCCTGTGGGCGCTTCAAGAATTACAAACACGATTTTGGGGGTTCCTTATTATAACTATAGTATACTGTACCCCAAGACCTTATTCTCATTATGCAGGCGCCCCTTTATTAGGGCTCAGGGCTCAGGGGTTTAGGGGTTTAAAGGCGAGGTTTGGCGGTTATAGGGCTGGTCCGAGTCGGGGGTTTAAGGGTTTAAGGGCTTAGGGTTTGAGGCTCTACTGTTGACGATATAAATCCTGCATTGCCTTAAGGACCCTAAACTATGGTAATTATGGTATATTCCTTTTAATGGGTAATGCAGGATTCGTATCCCTAAACCCTAGACCCTATACCCTATAGATCCCCTAAAGGAGCCCCTTAAAGGTACCCTAGGAGTTCTACCATAGGACCCTAGGAGTTCTGGAACTGCAGGGTTCTCGGGTTTTTGGGCTTATGGGGTTTTTGAAGGACAGGAGCCCTCCAAGGCAAGACGAGGCTTAGGGTTTAGAGTTTAGGGGTGTAGGGTTTGGGGGTAGTAAGGACGGGTCCCAGTAATGGAGGTTTCAAGCCCCTCACAGTGAGATCCTGATATTTTTCGCAATGCGGTTGCGATCCGAATCTAGGCTTGAGCTCACAATTTAGGCTTTAGCGTCAGGTCTCTATTGGATGTCGGGTTCTTTGACAGCTCAAATTGGGGCTTCGTATCCGCGAGGGGGGCAAAATCGCGGGTTTAGAGAGGCTTTGAGATTTTGGACGAAGGCGCCTGGGTGATTCCGGCTTTTTTCATCGCCGACGCGAAGTCCCAAAGGTTCATTGAATAGTTGTTTCTGAATGTCGGCTGGCCTGGCTGTGATGAATGAGGTTCCGTTGTAGACTAGACCCTTTCTAGAAGCAATGCCTTACTTCACCATGCTTGGAACGAGTGACTTAAGGTGTGGGATTTGAGGATTTCCCAGGCTGAGAGCATGATTTGAGGATTTTGGTTTGGTCGTCTTGTGTATGTATGTATTTCACCTGGCTTGTAACTGGGCAGAGAAGCTTTCTGACGTGGACCTCAAGTGGAAGAACTGCGGGAAGCCGCTGCAAGTTCCCCCGAAACCAGGCTCTGGCATGATCGGACTTTGCATTCTTTGCGAGACCTAACCCAAAGGCTCCATGTACCTTTATAGTAGATACTTAAGCCTCAAAGGGGTCCCATATAGGTACTTTAAGGCCCAAGTATATACTATATGGGTACATGGAGCCTTAGGGTAAGCCCTATGCCATAGACCCAGCCCCCCCAAAGCTTCAATTTTGCAGCCTTACACCCACGGCCCAAAGATTTGTGCCACAACTCCACCCACAGCCCTCCTCGACTTCTTGCGCCCACAGCGCCTAATTGTGTGTATTTTGAGCTTGAGGTTTTGCTGTTGTACGGAAGAGTGTACAGGATTCGGTAAAGGGTCAGGGCCCTACTTGGAGGGGCAGGGGACTTAGTAAGTAGTAAGTGTAAGTACCCTAAATAGAGTTACTCCAATTATAACCCACTTATAAACGACTTACTATATAAGTCCCCTGCCCCTCCAAGTACATGCCCCGGAAGCCACAAATTGCCCAAGCAAGGGCTGTGCCACATCCGGCGCTGGCTCAGGATGATGCTCAGGCCATGGGATTGTAGAGGCAGTAGCTTAGTAGCTGAGTGGATGCACTTTACATTTGTTGGGATCGTATTACACACCATAAATCTGAAAGTGTACACTTTCTAAGGCTTATGAACTCAGCAACTATAAGGGTTCCTACATCCCTTTTAGTAACCCGTATAGTAACCCTTATAGACCCCTTTAAAGGAACCCTACACTCAGCAAAGGTGAGCCTTCGACTCCAAACCCCCAACCTTTCCAGACAGGGGCCCGAGTCTTTGGAGCCGTGCTGAGGAGTCGTATGGTTGTGACAGGGGTTTAGGGTTTAGGGTTTAGCGTTTAGGGTTTAGGGTTTAGGGTTAGTAGTATGGTTTAGAAGGGGCCCCCACCCTGTAATGGTGGTATAATAGGGATATAATAGGGCCCTAATATAATCCTTATAGCCACCCCTTCTAAAGTATGGTTGTGACAGGCTGATTGTCGCATCGCGATGTTGACACAAATTGCAAATGGTCAGGAGCACATTCACTTTCCCGGAAGCTCGTGAAAGCCTATCATCTTGCCGTGTCCAGCAGACTCAAAGACCTGCGCCCTCAACCCTGTAAACCACCGAATCCAAAACACGAAACTAGCCCCTAAACCCTAAAACCTAAACCCTAAACCCTGAACCGCTAACTCAAAAACTCTCGTCCATCCCCAGGCTTAAGGCCCTCCAGAAATTTAAAACCACAAGCCCCAGAGCCCTAAGGCTCCATGTACACATATAGTATATACTTAGGCCTTAAAGTACCTCTACAGGGACCCCTTTAAGGCTTAAGTATCTGCTATAAAAGTACATGGAGCCTTTGGGAGAGCCCTCAAGTCTACTTTCCCCAAACCCGAACTCCCAAAGCCCTTCTTCAAAACCCGGGTGTGGTCCGACCTCAGGCACCAATGTGCCTTCTCCAGCGCACGTCTGCGGCAGCCGGCCGGTCCTCATCAGCAGGCCCTGAACTCCACAGTTAACTACAGTTTACAGTAGTGTGTTCGGTCAAGTTTAGGGTTTAGAGTTGGGTAGGTATCCTTCAGCGTTGTTGAGGGCAAGCTTTTGGTTCACAGTTGAGTTAACTATTCAAATTATCATTGACACTTGGGGATTGTTCCACGGAACAGGTCAGAGATCGCCGGAAGCGGGAGGTAGCGTCGACTCCGTAAATTGGGTCTTCAACGAAGACGTCGCCACGACGACCAAACTGGAGGCGGACGCGGTTGAGTGGGGTCTCGGTCTGGTTGTGTTTCCCAAAAGCTCCATGTACCCTTATAGCAGATACTTAAGCCTCAAAGGGGTCCCCTTATAGGTGCTTTAAGGCCTGAGTATCTACTATATGGGTACATGTACGACTTATGATCTTTGTTCAGTATCGCGATGGTTCAGAGGTCTGTGTTTCTTTCAGAGGATCAACTGGGTTTCCGTGTGCACGGGTTTGTGGCCTTCGGGATTGTGGTTTATGGCTTTGGGGATCATGGTTTAAGTCTATAGGGTTCGTGGTTTCGGGATTCAGGAACTTGAATTTAGAGGGTTAGGGTTCGAGTCTTTGTCCGGTTTTGTAAAACCAAGCCGCTTGTAACGTGAAGGATCCCTGTCAAGCAGGTTTCTGACACCGAAAACGACACAAGGATGATCTGTAGGACCTTCAAACCAGGATACCACCACGTCAATTGCCAAAGAATTTTCCTGATTTCTAATTGACGAAAACTTGTCCAGACACTCCAAAAGGCCTACGACCTTTGCAAAACCCTGTTGCGATCTTCAAAAGAAATGCAAAACCACTACGATTCCGGACAGGATTGTTTGATCCCGGACCTGCCTGTTTTTTTTTGGGGGGGGTGCTAGAGGTTATTAGGAGGGTGCTTACGGGGTCTCATAAGGTTCTGGAAGCGGGTGTTTGTGGATCTTTCAACATGTCATCCAAAAGTCCATTTCAGCTTTCTACTATAGCGGTACTTAGGGATCCTGTAGGTAAGGCCCCTTTACCAACTGAAGGCCCATGCCTGGGTACTAGACAACTCTACCCATGCAGGAACTGCGTCCAGCTGTGCAAACTCATCCCTTGCAGGGGGTTGGTTTAGGGTTTCGTGTGTGCCTTTGTGCTTCCGGTTTGGGATTCATCACGAGTTAGGGGTGTGTAACTGGGTTGTTCGAACTGGGCTTCAAAATGGTAATGTGAAGCATCGGATTACATTATGAGGGCGTTGGGGGTTCCGTGCCGCCCGTCTTTTGATGAACTTCATCGGAATGCAGACAAGGGCCAAGCCCTAGGCAACCTCTCTCTCTCTCTCTCTCTTCTCTCTCTCCTCTGCGGCCATGTATGTGTATGTATGTGTACGTATACACGTACTACGCTTGGTCATAGCCAAGAAACTGAGCAGGTGTGCATGCGTGTATTGAGTATGTTATATCACTTTTTCGTTTGTTATTGCATACCATCTTATATCATTATGGTGTCGAACCATATGTTATGTTCGAGTATATCATACCATGTTTAACTATATCATGCTATGTTATCACATTTCATTACTTCGTAGTACACTACATTATCGTGTGATAACAGGCTATATTATGTGATCGTTTGTGTATTCCACGATATTACCTTACCATATCTCAAATTTCATGTTGTTAGGTTATCTTATATATGCTCCTCCAGCATTGTCACATTCTAGTGCATCATATGGTTTCATTTTGTCATGCTATATTATACTAAGTTGAACTCTAACAAGTGGTCACCCCATTTTTTATTACCTTATCTTACCTGGTGTCATGGCGTATTATTTGATATCCCCTTTGACAAATGTCTCCTATTATGTTATATTCGATTATAGCATATGTGTATACACAGACACACCTGAAGACCCTCTTTCTGGGTCATGAAGTTTCAGGTACCACAATCTCCTGGTCGACAGGCAGCCAAGTCGAAGGACACAGGGTTTGGTGCCTTTGCGGGTTGCAGCTTTGCGATGTATGGTTTTGGGGGATAGTATTTCGTAACCTTCTGGTGTTGGCCAAAACCCAGAAAGCCTGGATAACGCTAACCCTAAACCCCGAGCCTAAAGCCCCAAAGCCACTTAGTTGCTATAGGGGCCTAAATTATTCCCGATACTACTTTGGGGCTTCCTTAGTATAATCATAGTATACGGGTTCCAAAACCCTATTCTAAATGGGACTTTCCGAAAATAGGGGCACCTTATTTTGGAGTCCTTATATTAAGGATCCGATTATTTAGGGTACTATATTAGGGTCCCATATTTTCGGAAACCCCTAAATATGAAGGCCCCTATCTTACTAGCCTGGGGCTGCTTCTGACAGTCATTGGAGTCACCATCCCTAAGGCCCAAAACCCTTAGTAAGGGTTTACGTCAGAAGCTGCCCCCACCCTGTAATAGTGGTATACTAGGAATATAATAGGGCCCTAATATATAATCCTATGTAATCCTTATAGTCACCATTACAGGGTGGGGGCAGCTTCTAAGGTATATATACGGGTTTTGGGTTTAGGGTTTAGGGTTTAGGGTTTATAGGGTTTAGGGTTTAGGTCTTGCCCCTGGCCCCGCCCGCCATTTGCAGGATCTTCGAGGAGGGGTTGATTGTTTAGGATGGTAGAACCCCAAAATAGAATCACATAGCCCTGGAAGCCCCTCTCAGCCCCAAGAAACTGACACCGCAGCCTAGCAAAACCCAAAGGAGGTCCACGATGACCTCCGCGACACACTGAAGGCCGGCTGTGGCTCAATTATTGCAATATGGGAGTGTCCGAAAATCACGGGTACCTTACTTTGGCATCCTTGTGAGGACGACCCTACTATTTAGGGTACTATATTAGGATCCTCCATTTCGAGGAACTCCCATACATTGAAAGTACAACATGGCACATACCTAATCTCAACTGGTTGGCCTGTTCAACAACAGCATTTCATCGGGAAGGCAACTGTTTCGACCCTAAACCCTAAACCCCGAACCCTAAACCCTAAGCCCTAAGCCCTTTCTTGTCTTGATCTCTAGCGCAGTAGCAGGCTCTAATCACATGGCCTGGCTAGCAGAATATTCAATACCCGGTTATACGACTTCCATGGTCCGTAGGTGTAACCGGTGGATCTTGGTTCCGAAATTGAGGTTTAGGGCGTAAGGCAAGCAGAAAACAGCCTGAACCATTAAACCCTGCGGCCCTAAGCGCTAAATCTCAAGCCAAAAGGGCTGTTAACAAGCCTCAAACCCTAACTTTACACTCTCATCAACTTCTGTCATGCACTCCCTTGTAGAGCCCATATCATAGAACCCCTCTCGAAACCCCAACCCCCAAACCCCAAGCCTTTATCAGTTCGTGGCAGGCACTGCTAGAGCACCAAATCTCTGCCATTCGCTCGAAAAGCAGCGCCAGCAGCAGCGAGACATTAGTCCGTCAGGCCAGGAGTTTTGCCGCGTTCTTGCTTTTGGGTGCTTTTGTTGTGCGTCTTTACTTCTTCTGAAGGTTTAATCAAGGGAATCACAAGGGGCCTGCGAAAGTTCGGTGGTTTTATCGGCATTTTCAGAAGGTTTGAGCAAGGGGCTTGAAATATATGAACCTAACATCCCCTTATAGTCTCTACATATTATATCGAAATCAGGGGACGCGGGTAAGCCTGGTGTTGGGCTTGATTAAACCCAAGCGTTACCCTAAACCCGCCCCCCAAACCCTAAACCACCCCGGGCACTGGAAGGACGAGCTACTGCGATTTCAAGACGATCGTCTCCGGCAGCAGGACGAAGCGTTGAGGCCGGGCTTCTGCATGTGACATGGTTGAAGATTGCGCTTCGCTATACAGCCCCTGATGATCCTAATATGAGGCCCTTTAAGGAAAGAGGGGCTGCTAACCAGGGTATTACACTAGGGATGGAACTGACTGAAGCAAAGAACCCTTATCGAATATCGAAGCACCCTAACTCCTAAACTAAGCAAATTCCTAGAAAACCCTGAGGCCCTACATCACCGCACAAAGGCCTACAGAGCTCTGACAAACCCTAGACCCTTCCCCACAGAGTCGAACAGCCGAGCACAGAGCCTGACCGAACTTCCAAAACCCCTTAATTCCAGATCCAACAAACTCTAAGTTATACTGAGGATCCTGGCGTGATGTATGGGTATTCCTGGATTATGTGCTATATTGTGCTATTCCTGAATTAAGGGGTTGAGGAAGCACCCAGCTCTGTTTTGGGAGGAAAGAAAACCAGCGGCTGCAGCTGGCCCTGGCACAGCTGTCCCGGACCCGGCTTGCCCGAAGACTCGTAGGACTTCTAACATAGGGGTCACACGGCGGATGATATGAATCCTGCCTTACCTTAATGACCCTAGACTATGGGAATTGCTTATTATTGTGAGTAATGAGGGTTTCTATCATCAACCGCAATAGTTTGACTGGGCTTCTGAGCAGTTTCCAGGAGGCCCACAGAATATTCAGTATTGGTGTTTATTGCGGTTTCTATGTTGACAACCACGGTAAGTGTGGCAAGCATCGGAGTTTCGGTATCTTCAATCCACCTCCCAGAAGCACAGAATCCTGCATTTCTGTAAAGTAGATAGCCCTACCAAGGGAAGTGTGCATATTCCGAAGTAGGGATCGTGCACTATTGTGCAAGCATAGTACGCCGAACCCTAATCCCAAGCCGACAACAAGACCCATCACACCCCGATGTTGGGCCTCATTTCTTTGATATACCATCTTATACTTTAGCCATGGAGCCATAAGAACCCCTTACACTGTAGAACCGGCCCCAAAACCAAACCGTAAACCCTAAATCCTGAGCCCTAAATCCTAAGCCCTAAAGCCTGAGCCCTAAATCCTAAATCCTAAATCCGAAGCCCTAAATCCTAAGCCCTAAATCCTAAACCCTAAATCCTAATGCCTGAACCCAAAGCCGCAAAGCCCCAGAATCCTAAGCCCCAAGCGCCCAGGAGTGCCGCCAACTCCAGCGGCTCGCTGTCACGGCCGGAGGCCACGTCGCTGCTCACGTCGCTCCTCTTGGGGGGCGAGACAGAGGCTCCAGCACAGGGGTTCTGAAGTTTAGGGGTTTAGGGTTCAGGAGTTCAGGAGTTTAGGGGTTTAGGGTTTAGGGTTTAGGGTTCAGGAGTTTAGGGGTTTAGGGTTTAGGAATAATATAGTGGCCTTAGCAATCCTTAAGAAGGGTCCTATAAGGGTTACAACAAGGGGTACTATGGGGATCTAATAAAGGGGCCTTAAGAATTACCTATACTAGTTTGGGGGTTCCTTTCTAATAATTATAGTATGATGGGCCCTAAAATCCCATTCTAATTATCAAGGGCCCGTATATTCGGGTTTAGGGCTAAGGGCTCTACCACCGGGATCTGGATATGGCGTTGTGTGAGGTTTTTGTTGGCAAAGTTTCTACCGCATTTCTCAAGCAGAAAAAACTGCTAGATAATGTAAGAGATGCGTATGCAGTCCGTCTTCACAGACCCACCTTGACGAGCGCGCGGTAGGATCTCTATTGTACCAGCAGTTAGTTAGCTTTCAGGGGAATGACAGGATATGGGATATGGATGGTTCTATACTGGGGGTTATGCAGTAGAAATCAGGGGAATATGATTTTAGGATCTACATATGTTGTAAGGGTGGGTAGGGTTTGTGAGGACTCGGTCTTCGGATGCATCCTAAATCCTACGTTCTTTAGTAACGCGTAGATCCTACAAAGCTTTGAGCCGCAGAGCCAAGAGACTTCCACTTCGCACAAGTGTGCTCCGGAACTTCGGAACATTCCCTAAGGCTCCATGTACCCATATAGTATATACTCAGGCCGTAAAGTACCTATATAGGGACCCCTTTAAGGCTTAAGTATCTACTATAAAGCTACATGGAGCCTTTGGGGATTTGGGGGTGTTTCGCAACTTCGGAACATTGGAAGGAGCCTGCAAAGCCTCTTCCACCGAACAGCTCCAACACGAGCTCCACAGTCACTCGGATGAACGCTTTCTTGAGATCTGTCATCTGTCTTTTTTGTCTGTTTCTGGGATGAAGGGGGGGGATTGTGCAGCTATGCTGCAGGGATCATTGTAGGAGTCTCCAGCGCCGAACCCCTCAACCCCGAAAGCCCCTAAAGCCTGAAGCCTAAAGCCAGGTCCTGTGGGAAGGACTAGTCCCACAACGGCTTATGTGCATGTGTTTTATAGCTTACGGCCTGCTTCTTGTGGGCGGGTAACTGGGGCTTGTGTCGTCGTTTTCTTTACGGCACAATTCGGCACACTTCCCGCGTAGGCAGTCGTTAAACTAACCACCCTAAACTCAGCAATAGAACCCTTATTGTAGATTCGTTGCTCCAGGGGGAATACAGTCTCACTCACGTGCTCTGTAATCAGTACGATCAATCAGCTCACTCTTAATACCTAAAGCCCTCAATGTCTGGACCCTAAACCCCGAAACCCTAAACCTGATTACAGTATTATCGGTTTAGGGTTTAACTAGCGTTTCTGTCCTTGCTTAAACTGCTCTTGCATGAAGTTTATTCTGATGCTCCAACCCATCTGGGGCCAGCAGGCCTCATGCCCGGAAACGAAACCTCAATAAATCCGAGATTTGCAGGGCTAATATGAAGCCCTAAATCCTCAACCCTCTAAACCCTAAGCCCAAAACCCTAAACCCTAATCATTCCCTTGGCCTTGAACTCGGCAAAGATACAGCCGCCCTGAGCCCTAGGCCCTAAACCCTAGATTTGAGGGGCAAAGATACAGCCGCCCTGAGCCCTAGGCCCTAAACCCGAGATTTGCAGGGCAAAGATAAAGCTGCGGAGAAGCATCACAAGAAGATGACCTTGTTCTACATCCTCGGATGCACGGCCGAAGCTGTGTAGGTCTGTGTAGGTGTACAAAAGACCCCGAGAACGGCGCTTGAATTCCTGAGCCTTGATCAAGGGTTTGGAGTTTAGGAGGCATTTATGAATGTATGCTTGTATATACTCATGTATGCATGCATACATGTATGCATGCATGCACGTGTCTATGCTGTACATGCATCCACAGATATACATATATATATATATATATATACTTATATGGATCTACATACACAAACTCTCTCTTGCATGTATGCGTGTATATTCATATTCATATCCATATATGTATATATGTAAATACGTATATTTATGTATGTACACTCCCATAGACCTGTGTGTGCTCGTTCGCTTGACAGCTGCTTGTATGCGGCAGATGGCAATCAATCTGCTGTTTCAGCACGATATGTACTTGTGTAAGTAAGATGTTAGATACTGTTTGATTATGGCCAGTGCGTGTGTGAGAGGGAGATTTGTTGTTTGCTCCTGTACGTACACATATTCGTAGTTCACGGATGTACTGTAGCGCAACATACACATGTACACTTTCTGTCCATGCCGCTTGCAGTGCAAGCTGCTTACACAGTGTCACCACGCGGACACCCTGAACCCAACACGCTGAACTGCACATGGGAGTTTCCCTTAATTAGGGGTACCTTATTTTGGGGTCCTTATAATAAGGATCCTACTATTTGGGGTATCATATTAGGGTCCCCTATTTTCGGAAACCCTCACATTGGCCCAAACCCTACACCCGGGACCCTTAACTGTACACAGCAGCATGTCCACCCTGAAACTTTAGACTCCACACCCTTCAGTGTAAGTTGACTCATGTAGGGACCTGATTAAGAAACCTTCAAAACAGTAGGGTTCATATAAGGAACCCCAATAAAGGCCCAAGGTTTCTCTTAATCAGGTTCCTACATTCTGAGGTTCTCCAGTTGTTAAGTCGCAAAGCAAGATGCTCAAGCATCTGAGAGCGGTTAAGGGGTGAAGCCCGAAGAAATGCATCAGGAGTGTTCTGCATGATGGTGCTCTACGTCATCTATCATCTGCACCACTTCTTCAGAGGAGGCGGGGCGAAGGACCGTGATGGCGATGGCGATGTCGACGCGCGCCTGAAAATGAGCACAAAACCACTGTTGAGAGGGTTTCCTAACTTTAAGGGTTCCCAGTACCTACATCGTAGAAGTAGGGCTCCGATCTAACTATCCCCCACTATAGATCCCCAGAAGGAGTCCCAAAAGTTCCCCTTGTAGACTGCAGATGTGACCCGCAATCCTACGGTTGATGATATAATCCTGCATTACCCGTAAAGAGGAATATACCATAGTTCCCATAGTTTAGGGTCCTTAAGGTAATGCAGGATTTTTTATCATCAATCCTAAGTCCCATGGGCTCGCAGGTCCAGGCGCCTTTGGCTACGTTGGATTTGAAAAATCGACTCTGGCGGTTTAGCATGAAGGTTGCTAATGAATAAGATGTGGATTTCGTGATGGTTTGGGATGTTGTTGGTCTGTTTATTTCTAACTTTCCGGGATCCAGTGGATTGGGGTGATGAACCCAAGGCTCTAAACTCAAGCCTGAAACCTAGACCTTGAGCAGTAAATCCTATAAACCCTGGGCAAGTCCTGCTTAAAGCGGAAACTTCACCCCTAAACCTTGGGTGGTGGACCCTTAAACATCTCTTCCCGACCCCAGTTCCTTAAACCCCAGCCAGCAAGCTTACCCTAAGGATGCATGCGCCCATATAGGTATATACTTTAAGACTTTGGCCCCGAAGTACCTATATAGTATCGGGAGAGCTTTGAGTACTAAGTATATACTATCTGATTCCATGGACCCTCAGGGCTTAGGCCCGAAACCTCGACCTCTTGCACGAGCGCCCTGCACTTCTCGCTGAGGACTGGGACGATTTCCGCGAGCTCCTGCATCTGCAACGCCCAAACCTCCCAACATCCCTTACCCTAAGGCTCTAAAGGCTCATCTTTTAAGGCTTTGGTGCCTAAAGACCATATTATATATGGCTTTTGGGCTCTAAAGACTCACATTTTAAGGCTTTTCTACTTAAAGACCATATTCTAGAAGGCTTTTGGGCCATTTTGAGCCTTACCTAGGGCTGATTAAGGCAACTTAAAGGCATCCTCAAAGGGCCTTTTGAAAAGGGTTCTAGGGTTTAGGGTCCTCAATTCAGGAATATACCTTAGATTATAGCCGAATTCCTACTGTGATGTAGGTTATATTGCTTGCATGAATTGAGCGATATTTGAGGGTTTGGGCGGGTAGATTAGGACACCCGGACTCCCGTTAGCAAGGTATAGGGCCGTTATATTATATAGGAACCCGAAACCCTTAAACCCTAAACGCAAGCTTCGTTTTCCAAGCCCAATAAAGCAGCCAGGCCGGTGTCCCAACTTCATGACCCCGAGGGTCCGTAGTGCTTCATGGGGTTTTGGTGTTTGTAGGGTGTTACAGTTTTTTCGGTTTACCGGATTTTATCTCTGCTTTATGGGGCTGTGTAGAGTTTTGTTTAAGCTTTAGAGGGTTTCCTATATAGTGAGCTTACCGGGGTGTTCGGCGCTGCAAACGAACTAAGGCTTTGGAAGGTTTTTCGGAGGAAGGGTTTGTGTTCAGTAAGTTTCGGGGCTTCTGGGGCTTAGGGTACGGGTTTGCGGAAAAATGCTGCAGCCTGGGTGTTTGATTCGAGGGTTGCTTCCGCCGAGGCATTGATGCGTAGGGTGGAGAAAGAGGGAGTGCACAACTACCCAAAGGCTCCATGTAGCTTTATAGCAGATACTTAAGCCTTAAAGGGGTCCCTATATAGGTACTTCAAGGCCTAAGTATATACTTTATGGGTACATGGAGCCTTAGGGCTACTGTTCTCTCAAGACCGATACCTTAACCGCTGAGTCGGTCACCGTGAACTCTTCGTGGCGAGTAACACACCGTTTTTGCAAGTTTAGAACGATCAAACACTGCCCCAAGGGTCCAAAGGACCAAATAATTAGGTACTCGGTTTTGGGATAGTAGTTATGTAGGTTAGGATTTTGGAGAGTGTATGATTATCACTGTACTTGGGCCGAGGCCTGCAATCTACTACCGGAGCACCAACCTCCAATCCCTCGAATCGTGAGACCTCATGGAACCCTAAACTCAATGCCTTAATCTCCAAAACGTGTATAGTCAATCTCATGAGCACTTTAGAAACCCTAAACCAACTCAGTTACATGGCGGGGAACCTCTGCTGCGGCCTGGGGTACCAATCTGCGAAGAAGGTCGCGTTCGCCCGGATCCCTAGCCGTTTCCAAGAGGTTCGAAGAATTGAAACAATGATTTGTCGAAGACTTTCTCCCGTTCTAACTCTTCATGCCCCGAAATGACAAGGAAGGGCTTGAGAGCTACGGGTTGCGATCCCATTCACTTTGTGCCCGCCGTCAGGTTCCTGTTTGTTCGACAATAGGCCATACGGTTCAGGCCTCTTAGGTTAAGGATAGCTCAAACAGAGATGAACCTTAATTACCAGCAAGGTGCTTTTCCTCGCGTCCTTGGGCTTTGCCTTCCTCTGGTGGCAAGGCATCATCCAACCCTTCCTGAAGGAGTTGGCATGTTACGACCTTCTGCTGCAGACAGCTGCATGGGTTCTTGTTGAGGGATTTAGTGTATGTTACCATAATAGGGACCTGTAGTAAATAATATGGTTTCCTCATTATGGTAACTTAAACCTTATAAACCCTAAACCCTTAAAGGAACCCTTATAGATCCCTTAAAGGATGCCTTATCATTCCCTGATTATGGTTAAGTTGCTAAACAAGAGCCCAGTTGCAGTTCGGGGTGAAGTGGCTTTAGACCAGACCACAGCCTTGCGGCTTTTTGGTTGCGGGGCTTCAGCTGACCTCAAAACCCGAACCCCTAAACACCGCAAAAACCAAAAATCAACCGAATCGTCCTGAGATCTCTGCGCGCGTTCTAACACCCAAATCTCTAAATTCCAAAACTTCATATCCTCAGACTAACCTAAACCGTCCCTAATTCGTAAAACCATGAGCATCTAGATAACGCCGAGATCTACCTTGGCTCCATCGTGGTCCTCGTGTTGGGCGTCTTTCTGGCAGAGCTTTGGAGCAAGTTCTCGGTCACTTGGCTCTGGCTCTGAAAAATTAAAAGTTGTAGGGTTTAGGTTTTATTTAGCGTTGAACAGTAGCGTAGTTCGGCTTGACTTAGGGGTCTTGTTAGGCAGAATAGGTCGAACAGTTTGCGTGGGACTCTTGTGTTTCGGGGGGGGGGGGGGGGGTACTTAATCCTGCCAAGGGCCTGTAGGTAGTAGGCTCTGTATCTGGTCTTCAAGGGGTTTTTGCGAGGCATCTACAAGAAAAGATATCGAGGCCTGAATAATCGAACAGGGTTTTGGGGTATATTCGAAGGTGGCCACAAGGAGATACTGCTACTAGTTACTTATTAAATCTCCCAGGCACTCCGAACCAAGTTCTTTAAATGTTAATAGAGTTATGTGTATTTGATATGTTTGGGACTTAAGCAGAATCTTCTACAAATCAGAATCTTTAGTACAGTACGTTTAGGGCTTAGGGTTTCGGGCCAAGGGCTTAGACGTCTCCCTAAGGCCTCTTCGCCTGCTTGGCCAGCAAGAGCCTGAACTCAACACCCTGGCACCTACCCTAAGGGTCCAAAGGACCCAATAGTTAAGTACTCGGTTTTAGGATCGTAGTTATGTAGGTTAGGGTTTTGGAGAGTATATGATCATTAGGTACTTGGACCCTTGGGGCTAGGACCCTTAACAGTAACACCCTCAACACCCAAGTCCACAATGCCTCCGTTTCACCCTTAACTCCCCGAAGCCTCCGGTTCATTAGATTCAGAATATTGCAATAGTCATGGTTACTGACCTCTGGTTGCTTTAGTATAGCAACTTTTTTTTAATGGTTTATAAGTAGGGTTATGATTGGGCTAAGTCCAGTTAGGGTACTTATATCCAAGCAGACCCTATTCAATATCAGCTCAGGGGCCGTTGCAAGACATCGCAAACGGGATGGACAACTTCACCAAGATGACATCCGGTGAGGCCGGGATTTAGGGGTTTCGGGATTTAGGCTAGGCCTCCCGGTGGGCCCTTTTTGTAGTCCTAGGTTCCTTGTAAAGTTACCCAATACCAAAAAGGGAGCCCTTTTTATTCCTAGGTTACTGGGCATCCTAGTAAGGTTTGTGGATCTGGGGGTTTGAATGTTGGGGGTTTAGGGATTGATGTTTGCGGTTTGGGAATTTGGGGTTTTGGGGTTCAGGGCTTGCGTGACATCCGGGGAGGCTGGGGTTTGAGGTTTAATAGGGAGTAATTACCCTAAGGCTCAAAATGGCCCAAAGCCTTATATAATATAATATGGTTTAGAGCCTTAGGGTTAGGATTTAGGGTGAGGGGCTTGGGTTTTAAGGCTAAGGTTTAAGTTTACACGGTCGAGTTTGAAACTCAAATCTTTAGGGTTTGCTGTTTAGGGATTGCGGATTCCGGATTCCACAGTTCTACCGTTCAGCGTTTTGGGATGAAGCCTTGGGGAGCTGCGTCTCGTCGTGGGATATGGGGCTAACGGATTTGTGCAAGTAGTTCCTTTTGGGGATTACTTTCTAGGATTCTACATATGAGCCACCGAAAGGAACTACTATGGAGCCTTACTTGGAGGATCATGGGACTAAGTAAGTAAGGTTATAAGTACCTTAATTGGGGTGCTAAGGAATTATAAGTATAGTTACCTTATGTATAACCCCAGTTGCTAAGTCTCATGATCCTTTAAGTAGGGTAAACCCTAAACCATAATTCGTGGCTTATTTGGGAGTTAACACCGCCCGACCCGGAATCCTCTAGCGTTAGCAGAGTGAGTGCATCACACCGAAGAGGACCCCAGAAGGGATAGAGTCCAACCGTATAAACCTGCAAATCTATGCATAATTAGTCGGTTTCAGTCTAGTTGCGCCTTCGGGTATTTGATTCTTCATTCTTGGGTGTAGAGGATCTTAGTTATGAATATTTTCTCAGAGGCTTTACAGTACGGGGCCAACCTAGAACCGCATCCGAGGGATGGCAAGATTTGATGCACAAAGCCAAGTCTGGCGTTGGCATGGAATAGCGTGCAGCGGCCTGGACGTGAGTTAACATCAGACGCATTCGGATGTTGTCCTTAATCACGGTGTTCAGGCCTTTTGGAGATCAGGATTGTGGGACATATGAGGCAAAAGGTGGGTAGAGCTTTTGTCGCTGTATGCGGTGGCGTAGGATTGAGATGTCCATGGTAAATCGGGTCTCTTATTCTTATGGCTCGGGGTGTGAGGGTTTAGGATTCTCCGGTTGAGGGTCTGAGGGTTTGGGATTCCCAGCATATTTTTCTGATCTGACGACCAGCCCCCTTGCAGTTGCCGTTTGATGCAGTACCTCACCCCCAGGGCTTTCAATCAAGCGTTGAGCGAGGTCACATCTGCTGTTGCCAAGAGCTCGTAACTCTCGCACAAGACATGACTCCAATTGCCATCAGCCGGTATTTCCGGTATTTGACGTTCGTAGTTTACAGTCTTCAGAACTGAGTTACCCACCGACACGGGGTCCAGGTACGCCTGTCATACATACTGCATTCCCTAAGGCTTGAAATGACCCAACAGCCTCATATAATGTGGTCTTTAAGCCCAAAAGCCTTAAAATATGTGAGTCCTTAGAGCCTTGCCCTGGGCATCAAAATAGCCCAAGAGCCTTTTTCAGTATGGTCTTTAGGCCCATGAGTCCTTAGAGCCTTAGGGATTGGGATTGCAAGGGACGTCTGCCGGAGCTCCTTACAATCCCTACACGCTAAATCGAACGGCAGAAACCCCAAGATTCCAAAGGACCCAATATTTAGGTACTCGGTTTTAGGATAGTAGTTCTGCCCTAAACCCTAAACCCTGAACCCTAAACCCCTAGGATTGTGGAGAGTATCTGATTATTAGGTGCTTGGACCCTCGGAGAAAGCTCCAAAACCAGAAACGCCGAACTCCTCAACAGACGACTCCCAAATTCAATTCTCAGCATAGCCAACGCTTAGGCCGTAAAAGTTTCCCGACCTAGACCTAGACCTTCGATCTAGACCGATGATTTTTGATAAGTTCGCTTGTGCTTAGGATCCTCTAGTAAGAAAGCCAAGGGGACAAGCAAAAACTACGACATTGCAGGGTCTATAGGTCCAGGTATAACCCGTAAACTCTTAGAGGCATGGAATGGCGGTGTTCCCAATTCGTGCGAGGGGTTTAATTGCAGGGTTCAGGGTCAGGATTAAGGTAACTTTTTGTAGTGAGAAGTGATGATGTGCAGATCGCTGGTCGGGTCTCACGGAGCATCGCGCTAAAGACCTGTGTTGTTGTAGATGATCGAAAACCCTAGCCCAAAAGCCTTATATAACATGGTATTTAGGCTCGAAAGCCTTAAAATATGAGTCCTTAGAGCCTTAAAGAGTTGGGGTTTGGGGTTTAGGGTTAAACTGTTTATGCCGAGAGATGGTTTCCGTAGAATTTCCCCTCTGGGGGCCTTGCCACCCCCAAACCGCAAGAATTCCAGCCTGTGTTTCCTCAGCCCGCATTTCCTACCCTCCTACCCCCGGAACCTTTAACATTTAAATCCGGAGTCCTATAGAACACACACCCTGATGCGGCCGAAATCCCTTCACACCCGAACCTACGCACTACGCAGGTGTGTGGCCTCACGCTGGTCATCATGATAGCTTTGGACAGCGGGCGGTGGCAAAAAGGAAAAACTTACAGGTGACAGCTTTGACACCAACCCTGGATTCCTGCAACATATAATCATAGTCTCGTACTTAGTAGGGTCACGTGATTACCCATCGCATTCCTTCGGTTTCCTTGTCACGAATAGCGTACAGTATACCGCATACCCCCAACAGCGCATTCCAACTATTACTGCCCCTCTGTATCAGAGGGTGCTACTTGTATGGTAGATCTCCAAGCCCTGCCGCGATTTTAAGCCTCCGGATTAAAGCCGCAAATCGTTAAGCTGAAGATGTCTGATCAGGGGGAGGATTCCATGCCCCATCATACGCGGCTTAGGCGACTGTATGCTTCGGGGTGCAGGACTGGAATTTCTACTTAAACGGTCATGGGACTTAGCAACTGGGGTTATAAAAAAGGTAAGGATACTTATAATTCCGTATAACCTCAATTAAGGTACTTATAACCTTACTTACTAAGTCCCATGATCCTCCAAGTAGACTCCCGGTGACAGCACTTTCAGTTGGTATCCCCCTATCTAAAACTGGAGACATGTATCCCCATGTCCCTTCTTCAGAAGACCATGCAACGACCGTCTCTAGTGTACCTGCAAGCCCAAAGCCCTACTTGTCATAATGTGGCTCTTCTAGGGTTGTTATCGCTTCCTAAAGGGTATGGGAATACGTACCTCTACTCTCCAATTCAGTTCGTGTGTTTGGCTGGCTGGTTTCTTTGTGCGGTCCTGGCCATGCAACGTGCGGGCTATCTTACACCATCTAGATATGGCTCCGATTGTCTTCAGCACAATAGAAATGCATTTCTCAAAAAGACAATCGAACGCAACTGTCCCGAAATAGCCTTATAAATTCCTTAAACTCTAGTGACGCCCCATCTAACTCCTTGTTCATAAACCCTGAAAACACCTTTCCAAAACCCAAAGCCTAAACTCCAAATGTCTGAACCCTCCTAAACTCTAAACTAAACCCTAAACCGCAAAATCCCAAACCGTTAAACCCTCAACCGATAAACTCCTAAACCCGTAAGCCCCAAAACCCTAAACTCTAAGCCCTCATAAACGAAGCCCCTAAACCCTAAACCCCCAAACCCTAAACCCTAAACTCTACAAAGCCCACACAACATCCCTCCAAGGCTGGCGGAGTTGGCCCATCATCTGGAGCATCGTTTCAGGCACGCGCGGGTCGTGGCTTTGGTTTGGGGTTTTTGGGGTTTGGGGTTTAGGGTTTAGGCTCCAGTGTTTAGTTTGGGTTTAGGGGTTTAGGACTTAGGGTTCTGGTTTTGGGTTTTGGGTCTAGGGCGAAATGAAGTGTTCATAGATCTTCATAGGGTGTTGTCAGGGCTTTATCTGTATTTGTTATGAGAACTTGGAATAATTAGTCCTATTGTTCCCTTGGAGCTCTGTATGTTTACAGCAGAATGCCCTGTCCATAGACACTTCCTGATTTTAACTACTGGTACCAAAGGTTTTATTTTCAGTTACCAGAATATGGATCTATTTATGGTTTTCTTACTGTGGTAAATTGAATGAAATTAAGTTCCTTAACAAGAACCCAGTTTAGCTTGCGCTACTTCAGACGAATTGCCTACGCGTGTTTCGGTTTGAGCCGCAGGGCCTCTTGTTTAGGAAGCCTCGCATTCGGGGTATCCTTTGTGTGACTGGGCTCTTGTTGATTACTTTACGTTATCATACGAAGGAAGCCCCATTATGTACTACAGAACCCTGTTACGGCTACTTCTTTTCAATTGAATTCCTTACCCTATGGCTCTAAGGGCTCTGATTTTATAGCTTTTGAGCCCAAAGCCCATATTACATAAGGCTTTTGGGCCGTTTCGTTATAAACTGTTTGCAGGGTCAATACTATCAATAGTAATCATGCCGCGTAGATTCCTCTTTGCGTGGACACCTTGAAGGGAATCGGGATGTCGAACAACGCGGAAGTCAGGCAAAACACATGTCCAAAGCCCTAGGCAAGTCCAAACCGCAACCCCTGATCCTCAGCCCTAAGCCCTAAACCATAGCCTTAAGCTCGTGCAGGTCAGAAAGCTCCTTGGCCCACCAGCATCGGGAAGATGTTCTGGGACTTCTATGCGCCGTCCTCAGACTACGCGGAACGGTTCTTGACTTGTTCTCAGCCGCACGCTCTAGCCCTGCTATGACCCTCTCAGGACCTTTTCATTCCGACAAGAATCAAGGACTCAGCGTTCAGCTGCAAGTTGTTGTCGAGATACTGCCGTTTGCCATGGTTTGTTCGTAGGGGATTTGAAGAAGCGTCGCCTTGCGAATGCAGGAGCATCTTTAGTAGTCGAAGACACCAGAAATCTAAGCACCAGTCTAAGCGCACTTTCGGCGACTTACCGGCTTAGCACCGGCCTACTGGTCTCGGGGTCAAGTCAAGCCCTGAATCAAGATAAGTGGGGCAACCCCTGAACCCTGAAAAAGATTCTCCAGAAGTTCTCAGTGTAAGCATCTTTGGATGATTACTTCACTGACAACGCTGCGAAACGAGTCAAAAATCAACACTTCCTGAGGGTCACTGACTATGAAATATGCTACTACACAAGCCCGGGCCCCCCTAAAAAGATGCACTCCAATCGAAGTCAGTCTCTCGATCCGGAGCCCTGCTCTAAAGCCCCTACCGGCCCCCTAAACCCTTCCACCCTAAACCCCAACCCCTAAAACCCCTCAAACTCCTAAAACCCCTAAACCCCAAACCCCAAAGACCCTGGACCCCTATCGGGTCCTATCGCCCCACATCCCCGAAGCTGTCGCCGGGGAGGAGTCGCGTGACAAGACGATGCCTTGGAAGCCTCGGCAGGACAAGGCAGAACGTTTGAGTGTAATAACCCTTCGAGCTAGCACGTTTTCTGCATTGTGTGAGAATATATGTATGTATGTATGTATGTATGTATGTATGTATGTATGTATGTATGTATATATATATATATATGTATATATATATATATATATATATATATATATATATATATATATATATGTGTGTGTATGTGTATACACATATATGTATATATGACTCAATATGCATATATATATATATATATATATATATATATACATATATATATATATATATATACACGTATATGTATATATACACATATATGTGTGTGTATATTTACATCAAATTACTCAAGCCCTGAAACTGGGCCCGATGAATCCCTGCTGTGATGAGTACCCTAGCAAACCCTACGGTTGATGATATAAATCCTGCATTACCTTAAGGATCCTAAATTATGGGAATGATTATATATTCCTTATTATGGGTAATGCAGGATTTATATCATCAACCGTACTAATGTTCTGAAGACCTATGATCGGCTGCTTTTGTCTCTGGCTTCGGCATTG